TCAGAGATGGTGTTAAATTAGCTTTTAATTAGCACAGAAATAGTGGAGCAGGCTTTTCAAAACTTACATTACTTAGGAAAAAGAACTATGTTAGAAATAATGAAGTCTTCATCCATGAAACTAGAGAAGATGAGTGTGAACAAATCTGGGAATATTTTCTGAAAAAATATAGAAGAGAATAAAATAACTCACGGGCCTTTGAAGAGTAAACAAAAAGCACAAAATAACTGAATATTTTTGAAGTATTTTCATAAATATGTGAAATAACTATAAATATCATCCTTTAAAAATCACCATATTCTCCTTACTATAAAATGATTGTTTTATGTATTTCATTATGAGCAAGCAAAACAGTTTTCAAGTCTGCCTTTCAAGACTAGATATTTTAAACTCCATTTGAGTTCACACTAAATACTGTAGTTGGTTAAAGATACCTATTCATATCTTTCCTCCCTCGTTTCCTAGCTCAAATAGATATGTTGTTACAAATCATATTCCGAATGATATCTTGAAATTTTGATGTGGATCATATCCCAATTAGTGAGCAATTTTTAGAGTTTTTACCCAGGCATGCAATATTACGTGGGGGAAAAGTGGTATGTTATTAGAAGAGGAAAATATAATCGTACAGCAGTTCTACAAGGAGTGTTGTTACCCAGTTTGTTAAAAAAAAACAAACGTAAAAGGTAAACTATGATTTGCCTTTATAAGACCAAGTTTTTAACAAATTAAGTAAAAGATTACTTAATATAGCCATTGTTAGTTAATAACCACTGTTAAGGGAAAGTATTTTCTGGAGTTAAAGGCTAATACAGAATTTGTGTTCATGGCAAGGAATGCATTAGCAAATGAAATTATAAATTAACTTTTTGTTTTTCTCATTGAATGACTTATAGTCATTTATTTTCTTTGGTTACCTTTTTGCCAGATATGTAATAATTGTACTTATGTTGTTAGGAGAAGAGGAAAGTATAATTGTACAACAGTTCTACAAAGCGTGTTGTTACCCAGTTAGCCAAAGGCTTATACAATATAGAGTATAGAATTTATAAAGACATTACATTTTTATCATAAAAATGAAATTCAAATTGACCTTAAGCAATTATACTGTGCACCTTCAAAAATAGTAAAATATATGAAATTTGTACAGTACTCTAGTATAGTTAAAATTTATTTTAAAAAATCTAGTACCAAGTAGAAATAGCTTTTTTATAGATTTTGCAAGCAAGATTAGTTGCTGTTTTTACTAAATGAACACTTTCAAATTTAATAGGAATTGAACCCTTTAACTTACACGGGAAAACTTCACATGGAGCAAAAGAATTCAGAAAGAATTTTTATAAACCTTCATAAAACTCAAATCTTAAGCATGTTTATTTTTTACCATTTGTTGTACTTCCAGTCTTTAATTCTGACCATAGTTCTATTATTTCCAAGAGAGTCATGAGAAGTAATTTAGGTATTTCTTAAATATTTGATTTGTGAATTTTTAAAAAACCATCAATACATAAAACCTTGTATTTAAACTTTAATAGAATGCTAACCAAGATTCTGATCTAAATTAAATATATTAACTTATGGATTGACTGTTTTTTGAAACTTAGGGTCCCCAAATCTTTAGCTACAATTATAATTTCAAAATTTACATCTTTTAATGAAATTATACTATAGAGATATTTACCTTTTATGAAAAATTTTTATGAAAAATTTATAAAGCATTTGGTTACTGTTTCCTTGTATATACAATGAAATAAACACCCAGCCAGATACTCCTTAATTTTTTTGTAAAAACTTTTAATATCTTTTATTCTAGGGAATAATGCTTCCATACATATAGAGGTGGACCCCAAGCACCCCACTATGCTTCCCGAGTGCTACTTCCTTGGAGCTGACCATGGTGTGCGATCTCAGATTCAAGTCTTTTAACAGAATCATAAAATCCTTGTCTACCACTGTTAAAATATTACTCTAAAATATTAGGGGTAATTATTTCAAATGAAAATCTCATTTTGAACTGCATACTTTTGTTTTTAATATATTATTTTCTAATGAAGTAAACAAAATCTGTAGTTAACAATACTATATTGTATATTTAAAAGTTACTATGAGATCTTAAAAGTTTTCATCTTAAGAAAAAATTATCTGGTGATGGATATTAATTTGTACAATCATTATGTTGTACACCTAAAACTAACAGTGTTGTATGTCAATTTAAATTAGAAACAAATTCTGTGCCAAATGTGGTTTTACAAAATGAGAACAACAACCCCTAAATTATTAAACTTTTTTTTTCTTTAAATATCTAAAGTGGTGAAACCCCTAGGAATTAAGCTGAGCAGAAACATACATTTGTGGTAGGTATCTTTGCAATAGAACTATTACTTTTCTATGACTTTACAAATTTAATAAAAAAAATTTTATGTTTTCAGGGATCCAGAAAATACTCTATTACAAAATTTGAAAGATGTTTTAGAAATTGATTTCCCAGCTCCTGCTATCCTAGAAAAATCTGTAAGTGTTTTCATTGCTTTGATATTCCAAACAGCATTGAAGAATGAAAGTTAAAAGTTCTTTTAGGCACCAAAGAAAAATGAGGTTGAAAGTGAGGGAATTAGAAGAATTTTATAACAGACTTCTGAACTGCAAGCAAGTTGCATGAAAGTACTTGTTAACCTTCAACTGATGGTGATGTGTACTTTTCATGGTCTTTGATTGACAGACATCTTTATTATTAAAAATAGAGGGTAAGGTCCAAAGTAGCTAATGGAATGTTTGGATTTTCTATACTGTCTGCTTCTGGATGACTGAAATGAAGTTCTGATTAGCTTAATATAAGTGTTTAAAGATAGTAGTATGGTTTTTCAAAACTGAACAGACAAGATTGCATTGCAAATAAATTTAGAATTGAATTTTGACAAAGCTACTAAATTGTAAAACACTAAAGTGGTGGTGATGTTTTTGTCTTTTTCCTTTAGTTACACAATTTTGAAGTTTAGTTAGTAATCACTAGCTAATATCAGTTCCTGTTTTTACATACTTGAGTGTATATTGATGTACAATATGGGAAAATTACTTAAGCCCAAACATCTTGTGAGAATAAACAGAATCTGTTTTTTTATATGTATCCATGTGTATAATTTATTGAATGAAAAAGGGAGCGCACTCATACAAATAGCTTTTCTTGTGTTAAATAGTAATGTGACTCTATTTTCTATAATAGAGTAATTTTTATAAAAACTATAATTATAAAAATTTAATATTATCTATACCATATTCATTCTCTCATCTCATTTTGTATGTTTTAAACACACTTATAAATATATCTTTTCTTTTGAAGGATTTTTCTATGGATTGTGGAATTTGTTATGCCTATCAACTTGATGGTGCCATTCCTGATCAAGTGTGTGATTATTCTCAGTGTGGGCAGCCTTTCCATCAAATATGCTTATATGAGGTAAAGTAAAAATCACATCAGTAAGACTTTTTTTCAGCTAACACAACAAAGAAAGAATATAAATTTGAAATATTTAGACTAAAATCTATTTCAGTATGATCTCTTGTTTTTTCATTAGCTCCTGCATTACTATACTAGTTCATTCCAGATGTCCATGTGCTTCATTTTTTCATCATGTCCAGAATACATTCATGGACTACTATTGACACATAAATTGATGGTACACTAGAATCTTTCAGGAAACACCTCATGTAACCACATGCAAACTGTAGACTCACCTAGTTGGGGGTGGTAGTGGCAATAAGGTGAAGGGGAACTAGCACTGTGGAGCATCTATTACTTTTCAGGCTAGATTTAAGTACAGAATAATTGAAATAATCTTTCGTTTGATAATTGAGAATACATTTTGTGATCTGAGTATCTCACATCATTCTTAGTGACATTTTATTTGCTATATGTGAAGACTGCTTTTATTTCTGTCACTCATCATTTGCTCTGTATAGCATTCATCTTAGTGCACAGTTGACATATGTTAAACTATATGTGCATCAATATACAAAACACCTTGCAGTTGTATGGTGCTTTCAATTTTCTAAGTCTTCCATAGTAATACTACCTGGTTTTAACAAGGGAGAACTGAGTTAGAGATGTCAGTTTACCTTATATAAAAATCATATCAGTTCTAATTATAGAGATACTCTTAAGGGAACATATGTTTTCTTTTATAATAATGAATTATTCATTTAGTTTTTGAAAATGAACTGTCTAATGCTGGTAACAAATGGTTGAGAATTAACCCACTATTGGTGATTAACACCAGAATTAAGACTTAACTTTTCAAGAGTTTATGGTATCTTTCACTGCATTAGGTCTTAAGTTGCAATTAATGTCTTTAGGTAGATCTGTGAGCCCCATAGACCCATATGCATTATTTGTGTGTTTCAGGGATAGAAAAGATGAATAATTTTCATCAAAATCTTACCGGGGTCCATAATTTGGTTATACAGCACTGGGTATAAACCTTGAAATCCATGTTGGTTTCCCTTGTTATTCCACATATTAGTAGTCTAACATTGGCTCAGAAAATGTTCCCCTTACTCTTGCAAAAGAGATTTAAGAGAGTAAATTATTTTTGGAATTATCTGTATTCATGCTAACATTGCTCCCTTTCTCTTCTCTTTAAAATCTCTAGTGGTTGAGAGGACTACAGACTAGTAGACAGAGTTTTAACATTTTATTTGGTGAATGTCCATATTGTAGTAAGGTAAGCAATTAATCACATTTCATAAAATATCCTTAGCAGTTAGTTATGTGTTTTAGAAGATATCTTTATATCAGCTTTTCTAAAACTTTTTGAGATATAACTTATGTATTTAAAAAAAGCAAAGTTTCTGTAAGATAAATTGTCCCTATAAATAAAATTTTAATTTTCAAACTGCTCCTTTGATCCAAAGAGGTAATCCCTCTTTTTTGGAATAACCTTTTTAAATTTTCTGGGTGATCTGAAACTTCAGAAAAGTATTTTCCAAACTGTATCATGACACCATTTCTTGTATAAAGCAATTTTTTTTTAGAATGTTCACAAACTTGTTTTGTTAAAATGTATTCCTTTTTTTTTTTTTAAGCCAATTACCTTGAAAATGTCTGGGAGGAAGCCCTAAAATAAGAATGTAACATTTCTGTGAAGAACTGAAACTTTAAAAGCTATCAAAAGGATTTTGTTTGATATCTTCAGAGAAAATATAAAGCAAGACCCACTAACATCAAAAGTAAAAGAATGATGAAGCCATAATGATATACATCTGCTTTTGTCTCTTCACTAAGGGTAAACTGGGAAATTGCAGACCAAAATCCTGTAGAACTTAAGTCTGTGACTTCCATACCAGCTGTGGAAGTGCACGTGTACCAAGATGGACATCTGGACTTGTTGAATATATCTGGACGGGTAAAATCTTGATGGGGTTCATAAAATGAGTTTGGGAACTGCATAAAGCTCTCTTTTTGTGGAGAACTTTTTACTTCATTCAAAAATTCTTGCAACTCACAATATTTTTGTCTTCTCCTTGTGCTTTCCTATGGAAAAAGATATATATAGTGTGTTAGATCTGAGTTATCCAGTATTTGTTTTGTGTACTCATGCTAAATAAGCTTTTTTGTCTTTATTTTACCTGAGAAGTTTTTGTTTTTTTTTAGATCCTGGATTTTAGGAGTTTATAAAGTACTTACCAGCATCAAACAGTCAAATCTGGTTAATTTTATTGGTTCTTTTAAACCAGTAAGTAAGCTATCTCTTAACTTACAATCCAAAAATAAGACAGAATATAAAAACTGAATTTTTTGGCAAGACAAAAAAACAGATTTAATCTTAATAGATGTCAGATAATTATTAATGACCAAAAAGCTTTCTAATGACATAGTGATTCTAGGGGAGCAAGATGGCTGTCCAGCCACCTGATGCTGCAGCCTCCAGAGGAGGTTGACACCTTCCCATCACAGACCTCAAGAAGACAGCTGGTTAAAGTCCTTGTTTGTCCACAAAGTTGATCTAGGAAAAGATGCTCACTCTTATCTCCCAACAAAAAAGGAAACAATCAGTCTGTCTTTACAGTGTTAAACCTGAATGCCTAAAAGTATACAATAAACTTTGTCAAGAGGTGTGTGGCCCAAGATAAACCCAAGGACTTGGAACATATGGTACGGTGAGCAGGATACTAACTTTAAACTAACAAAGTCACACTAATGCAGTTTCCCTAAATTCTGTCAGCTTAAAGGCAAAATAAGTAAATAGTTATTTCATTGGACTAATAATATATTTTGTTCCACACACAAAAATATGACATTTTATAAAGGCTGAGACCAACTGGTAAGCTAACTTAAGCAGCAGCCTATATAATAAAAGCCTAATATGCAAATTGATGGAACGACCTGTGGAATAACCGGTCACTGTGATGCGCACTGACCACCAGAGGGCAGACGCTCAATGCAGGAGCTGCCCATAGGCCCCAGGCTGGCCAAGGCGTGTGCCAGTGGGGCCCCCGATTGCCCTACTGGTCACACCACGGATTGGCCCTGATCGCCAGCCAGGCCTAGGGACCCTACCTGTGCACGAATTTCGTGCACCAGGCCTCTAGTCTATATATAACTTACTTATCTGTGGAAGTGGATGCTATTCCCACCTAAATTGAGAATAGAAGTCAAGCTACTAAACGTGCATAACCTATACATCTCTTTAAGCAACAACAAATGATATCAAATAGGAAAGTACTCATAAAGGACTTCACTTTGAGAGATGATCTGATTGGGAGAGTCTATGGCATAGCTTAGAAAAGTGTGGCTTACTGCCTAGCTGCCTGAATTATGCATAAAGTTTTATTGGAACACAGCCTCACCCATTTTTTATGTATTATCTATGGCTGCTTTTACACTGTAATGACAGAGCTGAATTGTTGTGATAATGACTGGACCTTAAGGATAAAATATGTACCACCTGGCCCCTGATCTAACATTAAAAAGCATACAAGTCATTTTGAGATCTTGCTAAGATACAGATCTCATTCAGGAGGTGTGAGATGAGACCTTAGTTTCTGTGTTCCTAAGAAGCACTCCAGGTGATGCCAGTGCAGCTAGATGGCATAACACACTTTGAGTAGCATGGGCTTAAGGTATGCAACAATTCTGCCAGGGCAGGGGTTCTCAACCTGGGAAAATTTTGTCCCACAGGGACATTCAGCAATTTGTGAAGATATTTTGGGTTGTCACAACTGGGAAGAGGTACTATTGCATCTACTGGTTAAAGGCCAGGGATAGTGGCCCACAATGTACAGAACAGCCCCTTACAGCATATATCCGAGCCCAATATGCCAAAAGTGATGCTATCAAACTGCATTATGAGCACCCCTTCTAGTTCTGGCCATGAGTAATGGGTATTGACCAGATTTTCCCTCCTGCTGTGAAATCCCATGAAATAAATACAACAATCAAGTTGGACAAAATACAGGTACCAACTTATTAGGCTACAACTTAAGATGACTTTTACCATAGGGAAGCCTATAAAAGTTTAAACAGAAGTCAGGACATGATCAAGTTGAACTACCAATAAATTAACTGCCTGCCAGGACAAAATTCAAAACTCTTTAATAAAGTCTGGACTCTCAAGATCTTAGCATCCAGAATATTCAATAAAACTTTACTAAACATAAGAAGCAGGAAATTTTGACCCATAACTAGGAGAAAGAAATAGAGTCAGATATGAGCCAGATGGGAGAATTATCAAACAACAATAAAACATCTACATAAATATGTGCAAAGACTTAAAGGAAAAATTAAGCATAATTAGTGAACAGATGGGGGACTCAGCAGAGAAATAGAAAATATAATGCACTTGTAGAACTGAAAAATATGACATGAAAACTTCATTGTCAAATCAGCTCTTAAATCTAGCAAATCAATGAGACCCAGCAAAACAATATCCAAACTGAAATACAGCAACATAAAAAAATGATTTGATAAATGAACAAAGCTTCAGTTATCTGTTAGGAAAGGTAAAACGATCTCATCTGCATATATTTGGCTATTAGAAGGAGAAATTAAGAGGGATTAAGGCAGGAAACAAAGAAATAGCTGGAACTTTTTCAATTTGATGACAAATATCAATCCAATGATAAAAGAAGCTCAATCAACCCAGGCAGAATAAATACAAGACAGCCATCCCCCCGCCCCCCCCCCAAGAAAAAGGTGAGAAGCAAATCTAAAAGCAGGATCAATAAGAACACATTGTATGCGGGAAACGTATTTATATGTTTTACGTTGACTGTAAGTAGTAGAGCCACCTGTTAGCGCGCGGTAAAAACTACCCGCAAACAATGTGAGAATAATCACTAATTTCTTACAAGAAAAACAACATGGAAACATCTTTAAGATTCCATACCCAATGAAGCCTTCAAAATGAAAATGAGCAGCATCTGTTAACAGACAAGACAGAGTAAGAGCATTCTAAGTGGAACATCCTGCGAATTGCAACTAAAGACTGGACAAAAAGAAACTAATAGAACATTGTGAAAGTTGCACAATGGAAAGCAGACTGGATAGAGACTCAGGACATGAAGAAGTAACAACCATGAGTCTCTCACCCCAAGCTCCCTCTTTTTGGATCCTATATCTCCCAGCCTGGCCATACAGCAGCCTGCAATCTGAAAACAGTATGCACAGACCAAAGGTTCAGAAATCTCTAAGCAATGGACCTGAGGAGTGGCAGGTTTACAGGAGAGAACCCTTTGCCTATACCTGCTCTATTCTAGGTGAAAACCATAAAAAGCTGTGCCTCTCCCACTTCCCACCTTACACCATAAACCTGATTGATTTGAGATGGTTCACAGACCCAAACATGAACCCTAAAACAATAAGCCTTCTAAATATATAAATATAGCAAAGTTACTTTGTGACCTTAAAGTAGACAAAAGTTTCATTACCAAAAAAAAAAAAAAATTGTAAAGCAAAAAATTGGTTAATTGAACTTTAACAAATACTGCCTGGCTGGTGTGGTTCAGTGGTTGAGCATCAACGTATGAACCAGGAGTTTGAGGATCAATTCCAATTCAGGGCAGATGCCCCAGTTGAGGGCTTGATCCTTAGTAGGATGCAGCCGGTCAATGAATCTCTCTCATCATTGATGTTTCTATCTCCTTCTCCCTTCCTTAGAAATCAATAAAGATATATTTTAAAATAACAAATGGCTTCAAATCAAAGACACTATTAAGTGACTGATAGCTGTCAGAGGGGAGGGGAAAGAGAGGGAGTGGATGAAAGAAGGTGAAGGGATTAGCCAAAGAACATATATGCATAACCCATAGACATAATAGTGTGGTGATGGCCAGAGTGAAGGGGGTTGGTTGAAGGTGGGCAAATGGGGGGGAGGCATCTCTAATAGTGTTAACAATTAAAAAGAGAGAGACACATGGCTAATAGGCAGGCTGCACACTAAGGAGAAGATATCCACAATACAGATATAGGATAGGAGACTTATGTGTGAAATATATAAGGAATTCTTACAACTTAATAATATAAAGACAACTAAATAAAAATGGATCAAAACACTTGAAAAGGCATTTAACAAAAAAGATTTATGAATGAGCATTTAGCACATGAAAAGGTGCTCAAATTACTAGTCATCAGGAAAGTGATCATTAGAATCACCATGAGATGCTAATATACACATGTTGGAATGGCTAAAGTAAAAGATAACACCAGATGTTAGGGAGGACGGAACTCTTGTACATTACTGGGAGAAGTATAAAGTGGGAACCATTTTTTAGCTTTTCGTAAAGCTGAATATGCATCTGATATGAAACCCAGCAGTTTCACCTCTGAGGAAAAACAAAACATGTCCATTGGGCTTGTGTCAGAATGTTTATAGCAACTATACTTGTGGTGGCTAGAGCCAGGGAGCCCAACTGTCCATTAATAAGAGAAAGAATATGGGAATTATGATATAGTTAATCAAGTACTACTCAACAAGAAAAAGAGCAAATTACTAATACATGCAACAGTATAGATAAATCTCAAAAAGCATGCTGAGTGAAAGAAGCCAGACACAAAAGTGCATACTGTATGACTACATGTATGTGAAATTCTAGAAAAGGCAAAACTAATCCATTGAAGAGAATCAGAATGTCGAAACAGTGGTTGTCTCGGAGGTGAAGGGACTGACTGAGAAAGGGAACAAAAACTTTCTGGAGTGATAAAATGTACACACACATCACACTGCCATCCAGTGAAAATGAATCAGTTTCTAAGCTTGGAACCTGGGCATTGATCTCTTTACAGTCCCTCCCTCTCCCAGACAGTTAATTCTGGTACACAGGAAGGGCTGAAAAAGAGCACCCAAGAATCTATTTTGTCACCAAGCAGAATTTTCTAATTATACAAATGGGAACTGTAAGATATGACCATTTGAAGTAGATGTCTTTACAATTAAAAAATTGGTGCTGCTATTATTCTGTAACAGAATAAATGCAAAAACTTCCTATTAGTATTATAAAAGCATATCTCTCTCTGGATAAGTTTGTATGCTTACTGGCTGGAAATGAAATGTCTAATTAGTATGCTTCTAATTTTTGCCTTGTCTCCCAAGAAGTTCAAATCCAACTTTAATGCTCAGTTTACTGATTAACATCCCAACTGCCTGACATACCAATTTGGGGGGAAGGGGTGAGAGGTAGAAAGTGGGGGAGTTAAACTATTCTATTTCACATTTGGGAAAATGATGGTGTACAAATCATATAACATTGGCCCTTCTGAAAAAAAAATTTTCACTGCAGATATAAATACACTGTACTCGTCAAAAAGTTTAGATTAGGAAAGACATTGGCTGTTGGCTGAGTGAGTCGTCTGCTAAAGGTGAGTCACTATCCAACCAAATGATCAAATGATGTAGAAAGTACATCATTTTAAAATGCAACCATACTGACAGAGGAACACTTCACTTACAGTTGATTATAAGGGTTAGACTGGAGGAACCAATGTAAAAGTATGGAATATGTTAAGAGTCCCTAATGGATCATAGATGGCATAAAAATTTAAGTGCACTTCATTACATTCTTAGGCTAAAGGAAGAAATCAGATCTGTAGGCAAATGAATTCACTGTCATTCTTTTCTCTGGTAACTGGTGTTGGCTGCTTTGATTTTATCTGTTGGATAGGACATTTACTGTCCCTTCTCATTTAACAAAACTATACAACCTTGGCCCCCAGAAGAAAATAAAACATCTTTATTCCCAAAGGGCATATTCTAATGTAAGGCCTTCGTTATGAAATCATAGCGAAGGTATGCAATAAGGAGAAAGAATCAAAAACACCTCTCACCTGCGCTGTTTCTTTGTTAAGCAATCCAATCCGCTTCTCCTCTTTCTGAACTCTTCTCCCTGTTGCAGAGGGCTCAGCACTTCTCTCACTGTGGACACTTTTTTCTGTTAACCTATTTTGCATCTGATTGACTTGCTTTGTTGCAGCCTTTTGCGAATCAACCTGTTGATTTAGAGTAATAACAGGTAATGAAAACTTTTGACACCTAAAAAAATGCATTTACATCCAGATTCTTGAAAATTCTAAACTTGCCAAGATTTGAAAAAAAAAAGGAATAGAGAGGAAACCAACAAATGGACGTTATAGAAAAAATACAGTAGTTGGCAAGATCCTGACCCTTTCTCATCAGTAGGACAAGACCAATTAAAATTAGTGTCTCTGTTGTGCACTCTTTGGAAATTACCTCTGCAGATCACTTGCTTATTGAAAACAGCATTTTTTACAGAAAACTGTCACATTTAAAACGGCACATGAATTCATTATTAACCTTTGCCGGGAATGGATCCAGAATATCTTTTTAGTTTAAACTCCTAATTAGAATCTTCGTTTTCTATCACTGAAGGGAGCCTAATTAATGTGAATGTGTAAGAGGAACTTATGATGTTGCCTACTTTTTTATACAGGTAATTTAACCTTTACACAGATGAATAACAGTTCATGTCATCTAATCCTGTGTACCAGGATCAGAGGTTAAGTTCTACAACCAACTTGCTTCTAAGGTTTCTTTTTCACACTCTGGTGTTATCTGGGGGATGACTGACTCTTAATAACCCTGAAGTAGACAGGGAAAGAGAAGCGCAGATCCCTCAGTACGGCTGGAAGATTGAAAGCCACAGTGAAGATCCTTATGTGAAGTATTTGTACGGCAGCTTCATGTTTATAGCAGCTGAAAGCACAGTCACCTTTTTTCATGGGTTAAGCAGAGGGCAGGAGATAGGACAGTACAAGGGGAAATAACGGAGTAGCCAGTGCCAAAATAGAGAATGAATTACATTGGCTGGGCAAGCAGAGCCTTAATTTGCAGTCTCTCAATTTCTAGCTTCTATTGCCAAGTGTGTTCACTCTTTCCCTTTAAAATATGCTGGTGTTTTGTGGCTAGGTCTAAGTTATCACAACATTCTTTTTGGTTAATCCTCACCTGAGGATATTTTTTCCCACTGATTTTTAGAGAGAGGAAGGGAGGGGGAGACACAGGGACATTTATGTGAGAGAGAGACATTGATTGGTTGCTTCTCGCACGCGCTAGGGGATTGAGCCTGCCACCGAGGTATGTGCCCTTGACCTGAATCAAACCCATGACCTTTCAGTCCCAGGGCTGACAATCTAACCACTGAGCAACAGGCTAGGGCACAACATCATTCTTTATTCATCCCTCCTCTCAGATCCCAGCTTCTCAAAGGACAGCAAAGCCACTGCCTGTCAGTAACCTGGAAATTGAAATTGCTTCCTAATCACTTAGGGGTTCTTTATTTCCAACACTCAAATCTCCCACACTACTGGGGAAATTTGTGTGTATCCACCTCCTGAGCCACTTTTCCATCTTGGTAATAAATGCTCATCATAGCACTAGTGTGAAACAAGGCGTTTCCCAAGGCTGCTGTGCGCAGTTTTATCCTAATAAAACACTGGCTTGCCAATCATCACGAAAATGTGTTCTGTGGTATAAAGGATTAGATGAGATATTGAGTTTTTTTAGTGCCTCCTGTATGCTAGGCACCGTAGGTCTGACAGTTGTTGTTCTGGGAGCCTCTGATGTACAAAAATTTGGTCCAAGAGATTCAATTCTCCGTGAGGCTGGATCTGCTGTCGGTTGGATGGTTAGGCTGTGCCGCCATGGGACACCTCTACCTAATAAAATGATAGCCAGTTTATGCAAAAGTTCTCTTTCTAGGGAAAGTTTTAAAATGGTAAGAATGAAGTGGGATGATTAAGTAAACATTTTTCTCTAAGTTATAAAAATACAGAAAACACTCGGCATCCCACATAATCTAGAGATACTATCCAAATGTGTGTCATTTTGAGAAAGTGGCTATTCAAACAAGGTACTTTTTACTTAAATTTCCACTAGTACTTCTCACTGTGCTACAAAATCAGGAATACTTTGGGACCCTTAAAACTTCATACACCAAAAATGTGCTTATAATGGAGAATTTATATTTTATTCTTCTCACATATGGAAAATAAACATGAAGACAAGTTTAATAGAATTATTTTGAGAATTAAAGCTCAAGGAAGAATTTTGTGAACATTTAAGCTCAGTACAAAATTGCCGTTGCCAGTAATAAGTCACTCCTAGCTTTGCTGTAGGAACCTCCAATTTAGGGTGAATGTAGGAACAAACTTTTACTGAAATATGGTTAGCCTGAACATTTTAACACTGACCTACAGCTACTCCGCTGCGTAGGTGAAGCATTTAGGGAGAATGGGTGGCTCCTGATGCCTAGGTGTCTATACTCTGAAACTATGGATTCAGGTATCATCTTAAGGAAGGAGATACTAACAAACTGATAAAAGGATCCACTACACTGGCTCCTGAAGAAACCGCTTACTCAAGGGTTGAATTGGGACTTCAATAACGCTGGTTTTTCAATTTGGCTTTAGCATTCTCATCTGGGAATTCTAGAGCTTTAGCTCACCTCAGTAAGCATTCTTACTGAAATATGGTTTCCTTCAGTGAGTTGTGGACATTAAATCCCGGTGGATGGCATAAACAGACTGGTGTAGGCCTGATGATAGATTCTTCTAATTTGTCAGTGCTACCTCAGGAGCCGTCAGCACTACTAGCGGGTGATTTCAGCTACACACACCATCATCTTGATTGAGGCAAATACCCCCAAAGATTTGCTTTTCAGGAAAAAATATCAACGTCTCCACTATCTTGACATAAATTCATTCCCACTTTAACTTCAGTAACAGCATTTGAGGACTTTAGGAAGAAGGCTCAGTTTATAGGGAACAGTTTATGATACATAGTAAAACCTAGTATTGAAAAAATACCTCATTTTTCTTTTGTAAAAAGATGTTTGCTGAGGTTCATATGGTGATGTGCTATTTTCTAATACCTAACCAAAACATATTTTTAAGAATTCTAAATTGAAAAGGCACAGCCATTTATACTGAGGGAAATAACATTTTAAACAATTAAACATATCTCTCCTTTGAATACTGAATGGTAGAAACATTTTATTCATCTAATGGTACACGTTTTTTGGTCCACTGGCTTATTTTTAAGTAACTTTATCTAAAAAGTACAAGTCTAAAGTTCATTCACTAGTTTGTTACATAACTAAAGTGATCCATGTGTAGATTATTAAGTAATGTTTTTAAGGAAATTTTAAGAGGATTCTGACTAAAAAAAGAGAAATCTGGGGCCATTCATTAATATTCACTTTGGACTTAAAATTGCATTTGTTATGGAAATGATCAATTAAGGAAACTATCTTATGCTGTATCAGGCAAAGGGGCAAAGTATAGGACAGTTTATATTGTCATACTTGGCTTTTGGACATTTTCAAGTTTGGTTTTTTAAGCATCACAAAATCTAAGTTTTAAAAATAAAAATTAAGGTGTAGCCACATATAGTGGACCTATATTTTATACTATAATTAAATATATTTGTATACTTAAAATATTAGAGAAATGTCATTATCCAATAAATATTGACATACTGTGAAATATATCCCCAAATCATCATACTTTATATATAATGAGGCTGATCATATTTTTAACAGAAGTTAAGGTGTTAAGAATGTTATTCTTTTTAAAAAAATGTATCCTTATTGTTGAAAGTCTTACAGATGTCTCTTTGTTTTTACCATTGACCCCTCCACCCCGAAGCTCCCAGGTCTTCACACTCTATTGTCTGTGTTCAAGGGCTATACATTTATGCATGTAAGTTCCTTGGTTAATCACTGCCCACCCACCCACCCCACCCCTGCCTCATTCTTAAAGTTTTATTTTTACTAAGTGCTCTCATCAAAAGAAAAGAGTAGCTGGGTTGGGGTGACTCAGTGGTTGAGCTTTGACCTATGAACTAGGAGATCCTGGTTCGATTCCTGGTCAGAGCACATTCCCAGGTTGCGGGCTCAATCCCTAGTAAGGGCATGCAGGAGGCAGCGGATCAGTGATTCTCTCTCAACATTGATGTTTCTCTCTCTCTGTCCCTTCCTCTCTGAAATCAATAAAAATATATTATAAAATAAAGAGTAAAACATTTTTGATTGAGGCTCATTGGAAAAACTGTTTTATGTTCTAGTCTCTGGATATTAAAATGGTTTCACAGTATCCTTAGAATTTGATGAAACAAAATTCTGGTGAATAATTAAAATTTTATATCAGAGGATATAGCTATCTTTTTAAAATGGCTTTTTTATATTTCAATTAAGTTTATGAAACTAAAAAACTACAAAAAAGGGGAAAACACTACCTAAATTGGTGTAGATTAAACGGTGACCATTATTGCAAGGGAAATACTATGTCAAGGAAATGCTCTTTGTTTTGTTGCAAAAGTGATAAAAACACAAAAGTCAATAAAACTGTTGAAATAAGTCTCAGTAATTACCAAGATCAAAATCCAGTGGCTTTTTATTAAACATGAACTTTTGTTCTGCCTTCTGCAATAAGTAAATAGTGCTGACAATTGGTTTGTGAGGCACTTGCTACAATAAAATGTAATTGTATCATGAGAGAAAGGTGACAATCAGGAGATCATGAAAAAATTACATATTCTCACTGGTAGTTAATTAGCCATGCAAAACCTCCTCAAACAGATATTCTCTTCTATTAGGAATGATTACTATGCAGGCCTACAGATGTCAATACCACAGTCATTCAAATACTTCTTTCCCTACTAATTGAAGGTTGTAAAGCTCTGGTGTCAAGGTTTTGCTTCCAAAGAGCTAATTTATGACTAGAAGGATATTTTATGTCTTCAGTTGCAGCAGCTACAAAATTCAGCAAATCAGAACCATCTGTGCTCAGATACTTGACTCACCGTTCATCCAGCAGCCTATCAGTCACGTTAGTTTGCATCCTGCATTCTTGGCTCATGAACACTTGCGATGATCCAAAGTTCATAAGAAATATTAAAAATGAATGGCATCCTGACCCTACCTTATTATACACACATGAGGGGAGAAAAAGCCCTCCTATTTTTTTTATTTTTTGCATGTGGATGGTGGCAAGGGAGACATGGCCATTTAGTAACCTGTCCAGTCATGTTGCTGACATCAGTCTCAAGTTTCCCCACCCTCTTAAAAAATATTTTGTCCTAATTATTTTGTATTGTTTCAAATTTAATTATTTTTCAAGTTCTAGTTCTTTTTTTTAAGTTGGCACAAGGGAGTGAGAAAACAGCAGAGTAAAGGAAGGGATATAACTTTTTTAAGTTGACTTTTAAAAAAAGAATTGCTTCTATACATTGAAATATCAGCACATACAAATAATCTGCTTAAATCTAAGAATATTATTATTGCCACCAAATTATGGCCAACTTGGTCTGCAAAAAACAGAGGGAAAGAACTAAAGAAAATCTGAAGAAAAGCAGCAAATAAAGGTTCTCATGAATGAAGTCAGAGTAGACTTAACCTAGTCGCATTTCCATGCCGACAGTGACCGCTTTGCTTCTTTAGTAGTACACAACAGACCACAGATCCTACCATGTTTCTGTAAGAAACAATATGTTGAACTTTCAACAAAATTGCTTGGAGCTGAGTTAGGGGAAATAGGAATCCTATCTAATAATAGACAAACATGGTAATTAATCGTACCTCCAACACGCTTCCCATTGGCTAATCAGGGCGATATGCAAATTAACTGCCAACCAAGATGGCGGCC